TCTAGTCTCGGGAGCAGGCGGTTAATACGTCCAGCGGTAACAAAGGGGAAGTAACTACGCTATAAATTAGGCACATATTTGAAGACTAACAGCCTACTTTTTAGCCTTCAAATTACATGACTAATTGGATTATTCAAATGTGGGCAATATTGTATCCTTTTATGAAGGTTTACAGCCAAATTTGCGTTTTAACTTCGTGTTATTCATCGCGATCGTATGAAGAGCGGTAGTTATATATGGATCGCTTATCTTTTGCTGTAGCGATCGCAACGATGCTATGGAAACCAGCCTCACGAAAAGACCTTGTTTTCGCAACCGAAATCGACTGACTCAGTACTGGCATGTAAAGCTAGAAATTACTAAATGGGCCCTTTTGTAATTACAAGTGCTGTAAATAAAAGCTTGAATGGTGGTCTCAATGGGGTAAATCTTCAAGCATCAGACGGCCTTAAAGTTAACCGTCAATCCTCAAATAATTATAGAAAAAGTTTACCGTCAACCGTCAAACAACCAAAGACTAAACCAGCAATGGTCGGAAACTTAACCTTAAGGTAAGCCTACATTGCGACCTCTACCATGTAAATCCAGGGTCATAGGTTTGAACCGCCATAAGGCTAAAATACAAAGATATTTTAGGGAGATTTGTAATACATCCTCTTTATTACCCTTTTTTCCTTAATTAATACAGAAATATATAAAATATTGCTAAAAATTAGGATTCTGGCAACCCGAAATAACCACTAGGTTAAAAATGCCGGGTTGCCAGTTTACAAATTGGTTGGTCAAATTTTGGCCGGACACACACACGTACACACGCACACACATACAAAATATAATATATACCAGAAAGTAAAGAAGAAAAGAAGCTGAAATTAAACGCGTAATCTATCACCTTAAATAAAAAACATATGTTTGAACTGAACAATGAAGAATATCAGATAAGTAATGGTAAGGCGTTGCAAAAACAGTGATATTATCTTAATGTGAGAAAAAAGAGAGAATTGACTAGTAGCTTTGGAGAAAGCTCTGTTTCAGTTTAACTTTGAATGTTGAAATTGGCAAGTGCTTTATATCATGGTCAATAGTATTCCATATCTTAGGGCCCTGAAATCGAATATTAAATTTCCATAATTTGTTCTTGCTTTGGGAAGATAGTAAGACTGTTTTGTAGAGTGCCTGGTATTGTAACTGTGGACGGTATCTAACTTAGTGAAGAAGGACTGGAAGACAGAGGGTAACAATT